GGAGGATATGGGGGGGGAGGATATGGGGGGGGAGGATATGGGGGGGGGAGGATATGGGGGGGAGGATATGGGGGGGGGAGGATATGGGGGGGAGGAGGATATGGGGGGGGGCAGGATGAACCTTAGCTGAAGAGGATTTCGGGAGTTCTTCTACACTCCAAGCCCGGCCCGAGGCCAGGCTCGACTTGTGATAACTTGGTCCACCAGGCTGTTGCTTGGCGCGGCCCGCAGGCCCATATACCCACTATAACCTGGTTGGTCCGGCACTTTTTACGAGAACTTGTCCAAGTGCCTCTTGAAGACATCCACCTTTGTTCCAACAATATTTGTAATGCTTTCTGGGAGGGTGTTGAACAGCCGTGGACCTCTGATGTTCAGTGTACTCTGATGGTGACTCTGGCACCTTCTTCACTGGTTCTATTCTGCATTTCCTTCCGTGTCTTTCGTTCCAGTATGTTGTTATTCTACTGTGCAAATTTGGGACCTGGCTCTCCAGTATCTTCCATGTGTATATTATTTGATACCTTTCTCGTCTCCTTTCCAGAGAGTACATCTTGAGAGCTCTGAGACGATACCAATAATTTAGGTGCTTTATCGCGTCTATGCGTGCCGTATATGTTCTCTATATTCCCTCTATTTCAGCAATCTCTCCTGCTGTGAAGGGGGAAGTGAGTACTGAGCAGGACTCAAGACGGGACAGGACCGACCAGTCTAAGTGAGCATGAGTTAAGGAGCAAGGGAGGGGGAGGGGTAACGTTGACCACAGGTCAAGAGTGACGCCACAAACATGTCATGGACGTGTGTACAGGTCAGGTCTCACGGAACCGTACAGGTCAGGCCTCACGGAACCGTACAGGTCAGGCCTCACGGAACCGTACAGGTCAGGCCTCACGGAACCGTACAGGTCAGGCCTCACGGAACCGTACAGGTCAGGCCTCACGGAACCGTACAGGTCAGGCCTCACGGAACCGTACAGGTCAGGCCTCACGGAACCATACAAGTCACACAACTAAACTATCTGACTAAATCAGCATTAATTGTTAAGGTCAAGTTTACCGCGGAGTGGAAGTGACCTTTCTCCAGTGTAGGTCATATACTGGGGAACACCAGTGGTCACTCCAGGGGGAATGTGTAGCAGTGTAAAGTGAACACAGGCAAGGTGTCTAGCTCACCACAGCTCAGTGCTCAGGTGCATCAGACACTAAAGTGCTCAGCTGCATCAGGCACTAAGGTGCTCAGGCCGGAGCGCGCTTGACGAGAGCACCCACACTTTTGTTTTAACATTTTTCTACCACAGACGTTATCTTGAGATGATTGAGATGATTTCGGGGCTTTTTAGTGTCCCCGCGGCCCGGTCCTCGACCAGGCCTCCACTCCCAGGAAGCAGCCCGTGACAACTGACTAACACCCAGGTACCTATTTTACTGCTAGGTAACAGGGGCATAGGGTGAAAGAAACTCTGCCCATTGTTTCTCTCCGGCGCCCGGGATCGAACCCGGGACCACAGGATCACAAGTCCAGTGTGCTCTCCGCTCGGCCGACCGGCTCCGACGTGGCCACACATTTACAATGCTAACCAACATATACACATTTTCTTGTGTCCTCCATGGACAGAGTTAGAGACATGTCTTAAACATCATATAGTTCAGTGGTTTATTGAGCACTCAACCGCAAAAGGTGATTTTACGATAATTTACTCCAACACTTACGAAACCTGTACATCTTTCAAGAGTGATGACCGCTTTGTTTACATTAATTAAGCAGGTTGTGATGTGTGAAGCGGTGTAACAACGTTGCACTCTATACCGCTTCACGCCTCACAACCTGCTTAATGTGATCAAAGTCGCCAGAATTAAGAAATGATGTACAGGTTTCGTAAGAGGTTGCGTAAATGACTGATGACTCTACTTTCCTTGTGGAGCTCTAGCTCCAGGCCACGGGCTCTGCTCGTCACCCTGTCGAAGTTAAATTACGATTTTTTTAATTATTTTCCTGAAAGCAGAGTAACAGTACCAGAGTGAAGGAAGGAGAGTAACAGTACCAGAGAGAAGGAAGCAGAGTAACAGTACCAGAGTGAAGGAAGCAGAGTAACAGTACCAGAGTGAAGGAAGCAGAGTAACAGTACCAGAGTGAAGGAAGCAGAGTAACAGTACCAGAGTGAAGGAAGCAGAGTAACAGTACCAGAGTGAAGGAAGCAGAGTAACAGTACCAGAGTGAAGGAAGTAGTAATAGTAGAGCAGGTCCATAAGAGTGAAGGGAGTGAAGGGTAGGGAGGGGGCGGGAGGGTGATGCAGGAGGCGGCCAGGCACCGGCACATTAAATCACCACCCACGGTCGATGGTGCCAGACCCCCCCCCCTCATGGCACGGGGGCTCCTCCCCCCCCCCTTTCCACGTCACCCTTTTCTCCCCTCGAAAAATACTGGTTCTGTATCTGTCACGAGCGCCCACTAAGAGGACGTAGGTGGAAACCTAGTACCCACATGAGCCACAGACACGTTAGAAATAACGTGTCAGAGTAGTAGACAGGTGGAATGCATTAGGCAGTGATGTGGTGGAGGCTGACTCCATACACAGTTTCAAGTGTAGATATGATAGAGCCCAATAGGCTCAGGAACCTGTACACCAGTTGATTGACAGTTGAGAGGCGGGACCAAAGAGCCAGAGCTCAACCCCCGCAAGCACTACAAGGTGAGTACACACAAAATTATATGATCATACCTGTTGATGACGCTAAGATACTGGGGAAGACAGGAGACGCAGATGATTGTAATGTCCTTCAAACTGATCTAGATAAAATAAGTGCTTGGAACATAGTGGCAAATGGAATTCAATGTGAATAAATGCCATGTTATGGAATGTGGAATCTGAGAAAATAGACCACACACAACTTACAAATTATGTGGAAATGAATTACAGAACTGTAATAAAGAAGGAGACCTTAGGGTGGTGTTGGATAGTAAGGTGTGGCCAGAGGAACACATCAAGAACATTGTGAGAGGAACGTCTGCCTTGCTTTCCTACGTCAGACTTCCGTCTAATAACATGGATGGTGAAATACTGAAGAAACTGTTCATGACTTTTGTGAGACCAAAACTGGAATATGCAGCAGTTGTGTGCTGACCAAATATCAAGAAGCTCATACTGGAAAAGGTGCAGCGGCACGCTACAAGATGACTTCCGGGACTGGAAAACAAGAGTTACGAGGAGTGACTAGAGGCGTTAAATATGCCTAAACTAGAAGATACAAGAAAAAGGTGATATGATCACCACATGCAAAATTCTAACAAAAATCACGAAAATTGACGAAAAGGAATTTCTGAAGCCAGCAACTTCACAAGAGGACACAGATTCAAGTTACGGAAACAAAGTTGCCAAAAAAAATATAAAAAAGTTTTCTTTTGCAAAGTGGTAGACGGTTGGCACAAGTGAAGTGAGAAGGTGGTGGAGGCCAAATTCGTTACGTTAAACAGAGCTGTAATTAATTAGGCAATTACACACACACACACACACACAGGTGGGCGCCGGTGGCTGTGTGTATAGCACGCTGGACACGTAATCCTGTGGCCAGTTGATTGACAGTTGAGAGGCGGGACGAAAGAGCAGAGCTCAACCACCACAAGCACAACTAGGTGACAACAACTAGGTAAATACAAAAACACACAGAAGGGTGGGCAGACTGCATATTTTTGGATTGCCAGAAAGCCTTTGACACAGTACCACATAAGAGACTGGTGCATAAACTGGAGATGCAGGCAGGAGTGAGAGGGAAGGTACTCTACTGGATGAGGGAGTACTAAAGCAACAGAAGGCAGTGAGTCAGTGTGAGGGGTGAGGTCTCTGAGTGGCGAGATGTTACCAGTGGAGTCCCTCGGGGATCGGTTCTTGGACCTATACTGTTACTGATATATGTAAATGATCTCCCAGAGGGAATAGACTCGTTCCTTTCAGGAGCAGTATGGGTCGGACGATGCAAAAATTATGAGGTGGATTAAAACGGAGGAAGATAGTACGAGGCTACAAGATGACCTAAACAAACTGAATGAATGGTCCAACAAATGGCTACTAAAGTTCAACCCAAGTAAATGTAGGGTAATGGAACTAGAAGGAGGAACTAGGAGACCAGTCACTGGATACGGAATGGGAGATGAAGTCCGTCACGAGATGAACAGAGAGAAAGACCTAGGGGTTGATATCACACCTGTCTCCTGAAGCCCACATCAAAAGAATAACATCGGCGGCGTATGCGAGGCTGGCTAACATCAGAACTGCTTTCAGAAACTTTAAGGAATCTTTCAGAACCTTGTATACCACGTACGTAAGGCCAATTCTGGAGTATGCGGCCCCAGCATGGAGCCCGTACCTTGTCAAGCACAAGACGAAACTGGAAAAAGTTTAGAGGTATGCCACTAGACTAGTCCCAGAACTAAGAGGCATGAGTTACGAGGAAAGGCTGCAAGAGATGCACCTTACGACACTGAAAGACAGAAGAGTAAGGGGAGACATGATCACTACCTACAAAATCATCAGGGGTATTGACAGGGTAGACAAGGCTTTGTGGCCACAAAGCCAGCCCTCTACACCCCCCCCCTCTCCCCAGTGTGGCCACAAGGCGGCCCTCTACACCCCACTCTCCCCAGGGTGGCCACAAGGCGGCCCTCTACACCCCACTCTCCCCAGGGTGGCCACAAGGCGGCCCTCTACACCCCACTCTCCCCAGGGTGACCACAAGGCGGCCCTCTACACCCCACTCTCCCCAGGGTGACCACAAGGCGGCCCTCTACACCCCACTCTCCCCAGGGTGGCCACAAGGCGGCCCTCTACACCCCACTCTCCCCAGGGTGGCCACAAGGCGGCCCTCTACACCCCCCCCCCCTCCCCAGGGTGGCCACAAGGCGGCCCTCTACACCCCCCCCCCCTCCCCAGGGTGGCCACAAGGCGGCCCTCTACACCACCCCCCCCCCCCTCCCCAGGGTGGCCACAAGGCGGCAGGGTACTCACGGATAGTTGTGTAGGTCGGTGGTGTCCCAAAACATGCAGGGGGATGTCCTATTTACCTGCAATAATAAACACCACGTAAGTCAACATGTTACTTTAACACACACAGTGATCACACTAACTTGACGTATCAGTGAGAACATCCGTAGGAGCCGTGATCAGGGTTCGAACCTATGTGATGAGTGTTCCCGGGCACACGCTCCAGACAACCAGGCCACGACATGGTCAAAGGATTGTAACCTGGAGCTCTACTGAACTTACGAGGGTTTCCTGAGGTTTACACTGAAGCCACCAGGATTTTCACCTACCTTCGAGAGGTAGAACTTTTCTAGATGACAGCCAGAGAGCATGGGACGGGGTGGGGGGGGGCGGGAGATTGTGTGAAAATCCTGGTCCGGTTTGAGAGGAAGCCTCAGGAAATCCTCGTATGTTCAGTAGAACTCCAGGTTACAATCCTTTGACGGTGTCGTGGCCTGGTTGTCAGGAGCGTGTGCCCGGGAACACCCACAGCACAGGTTCGAATCCTCAACACGGCTCCTACGGATTTTTGTTATTTTAACCCTTGACAAAAATAAGTGAGCTAAACATTCAACAATATTCTTGCAGCCAGGAAGGTAAACCATAATTAATACATGACATTCATGACAGTTTTCCCTCAGGAACACTTGACGTAACATGGGTCAAGTGATACACTCTCCAGGTATGATACACTCGCATCTTTACAAGTACACACTTACGTACAGGCAGTGAGGAAAGTGTTAATTCGTCACACCAGGAAGAATTTAAATTCCTCTGGCGATAGGAGGTACAAAATAAATTACAAATCGCAGGCGAGGAGTCACAATAACATGGCTGAAGTATGATGACCAGACCACACACTAGAAGTTGAAGGGACGACGACGTTTCGGTCCGTCCTGGACCATTCTCAAGTCGATTGTGAGAATGGTCCAGGACGGACCGAAACGTCGTCGTCCCTTCAACTTCTAGTGTGTGGTCTGGTCAACAATTACAAATCGTTCATGTATATATTGTTATTACAAGAGGAAAGAGGTCAACGAGTGTGAGAGTTGTTTAACAAGCGCGGCACGGCTCGTCCGGCGGCGACAATTCTGATGGCCAATCACAGTCGCCGGACGCGGTAATGAGCGCCGGCAGTAACTCTAGGGTGACTGGGGAACCACATGTGCTCAAGTTTACCCAGGCTACCTCTAGCCTTTACAAGTGCCCTTCTCCAAGTAGTCTTTACCCTAGTTTGCAATTGTAAACCTTGCATCCTGCCCATGTGGACCAAGGTGTTTAACGTAAGGTAGAGTGGTTTATTGTATTAATGTATATGGGGGGGGTATTAGAGGGTTTAATAAAAAAGTTAGAGTTTGAGGTGTATCTGTTCATCCTAATGAAGTGGAGTAGATGATTAGCTACTAGACTGCAGGGGCCAGATTCACGAAAGCACTTACGCAAGCACTTACGAACCTGTACATCTTTTCTCATCTTTGGCGGCTTCGTTTACAATTATTAAACAGTTAATGAGCTCCGAAGCACCAGGAGGCTGTTTACAACAATAAAAACAGTTGAATGGCAAGTTTTCATGCTTGTAAACTATTTAATAAATGTAACCAAAGCCGTCTATGATTGAGGAAAGATGTACACGTTCTTAAGTGTTTGCGTAAGTCCTTTCGTGAATCTGGCCCCAGACTTTTAATTTAAAACATATAATTATTGCTAGGAACATTGTTCCTTGGAGGCCGGGCCTATCTATTCCACTATTTTAGGAACATCTTGACTTTAGCTATTGGCCCTGCTCAGTACAACCACCTGCCCCCATAACAAATCCACTCTGTAAAACTTTTAAGCTACTGGGACTGACTAAAGAGCCTAAATCTGTATTCTCTTGAGCGCACAGCCTAGGAGAGATACATAATAATTTACACGTGGAAAATATTAGAGGGGCTGGTCCCAAACCTACACACAGAAATAACATCACATGAGACCAGGAGGCATGGCAGGATGTGCAGAATACCCCCGTTGAAAAGCAGAGGTACAACAGGTACTCTGAGAGAACTATCAACATCAGAGGCCCGAGACTGTTCAACACGCTTCCGCTACACATATGGGGCATAACTGGTCGACCCCTCACAGTGTTCAAGAGAGAACTGGATAAGCACCTCCAAAGGGTACCTGATCAATTAGGCTGTGATTCGTACGTCAGGCTGCGAGCAGCCGCGTCCAACATCCTGATTAACCAGTCCAGCAACCAGGAGGCCTGGTCGTCGACCGGGCCACGGGGACGCTAAGCCCCGGAAGCACCTCAAGGTAACCTCAAGGTAAGGTTTACTGCTCACTGGTTCTATTCTGCACCTTTTGCTCCAGTATGTTGTTATTCCTCAGGGCAAATTTGGGACCTGACCTTCCAGTATCTTCCATGTATATATTTTATATTTCCTCGTCTCCTTTCCAGATAGAGTATATTTGAGAGCTTAGAGACGGTCCCAATAATTTAGATGTTTTATTGTTTCTATATATGCGTGCCATATATGTTCTCTATATTCCCTCTATTCAGTACTAGGGAAGTACCGACACCTTCCCTCCTTTACTTTTTAACTGACTGGGCGAGCATTGAAGAGGCTTGGATTATCTCCTGTACCTTTCCAGCTCCCTCTCACTACGTCTCTTGTAACCTCCCAGCTTTCTCTCTCTCTCCCATCTCTCCCTCTCCCATAACCCCTCGACTCCTTCCCCTCTCTCCCATAGCTTCACCCGTCCTCTTACAATAACGTCGCTTGTCGCTGGTATGCACTATGGCCAAAAATGGACAGAATTTAAAATGAAATCGGCTCACGAAAGTGACGTACCGTCCCGTTTTCTGTTTTGAGTCCTCCGGCTTACTCGGTTAGGTAAGGAGAGGAAACTTTCAATTAACTGTTTTCATGACTTTCGAAACCCCTAGGAGAACTTCCTGCCCTCCTAATCTACCAGAAGACCCTTAACTTGCTGTTTTGGAAAACAATAATATCCAAAATTTATTTTCAATAATTTTTAATTTTCAAATTACGTCCATTTTCGGCCAAACGGACAAATTCAGACGTAATTTGTAAGAGGACAGGTTGTCCCTCTCTCTCTTAACTTCCCTTCACCCTCTCCATCCCACTTCCCCGTAATCTCTCACCTGTTCCACTAGCCTCGCCCCTCCTGTCCTCCAGTGGCCACCTCCCGCCACAACATAGAGAGAAGAGCATGAAGCGCAGCAAGCCTGGACGACGCCACCGTCCCATACTTCGAGACGCCCGCTGCTCGCCGCCTTCAACCAACATAAATGCTCTCACTCCCCTCGAGAAAATTGGAATTTTTCCTCCCCGACCGTTGCTAATGGGAGAGTTTTATCGTGTGTGATAGCATCGAGGTAGACGACCCGTGGCCAAATGGCTTCATAAGGAGACTGCGAGAGGCTTTAAGCCTTCCACCCCACACTGTCATTTGACTTGTGAAGATGTGCGTCTGTCGGAGCTGGCTCGCACGAAGGCCGCCTCAACCAGCCTGTTCTTATTAACATCTTGTTTGCCTTTATTTTGGTGTGTGTATTTACTATATTTGCAAAATCGAGCTATTAGCTCTTGGATCCCGCCTTTCTAGGCAATTTATTTTTCCTCTTTTATGTCTTTTTTCCTCTTTTATTTTTCCTTTCTATGCGCCCAAACAATCCCAATGGCCCCCAAACAGACTCCAATAATACCAAACAAGCCTCAATTCAATAAAACCAGCCTTATTCTCACTAAAATCACACCAATGTCTCCAAAACAGTCCCAATATAACCCAAACAGCCCCCAATATAACCCAAACAGCCCCCAATATAACCCAAACAGCCCCAATATAACCCAAACAGCCCCAATATAACCCAAACAGCCCCAATATAACCCAAACAGCCCCAATATAACCAAAACAGCCCCAATATAACCCAAACAGCCCCAATATAACCCAAACAGCCCCAATATAACCCAAACAGCCCCAATATAACCCAAACAGCCCCCAATATAACCAAAACAGCCCCCAATATAACCCAAACAGCCCCCAATATAACCCAAACAGCCCCAATATAACCCAAACAGCCCCAATATAACCAAAACAGCCCCAATATAACCCAAACAGCCCCAATATAACCCAAACAGCCCCAATATAACCCAAACAGCCCCAATATAACCAAAACAGCCCCCAATATAACCCAAACAGCCCCAATATAACCCAAACAGCCCCAATATAACCCAAACAGCTCCCAATATAACCCAAACAGCCCCAATATAACCCAAACAGCTCCCAATATAACCCAAACAGCCCCAATATAACCAAAACAGCCCCAATATAACCCAAACAGCCCCAATATAACCCAAACAGCCCCAATATAACCAAAACAGCCCCAATATAACCAAAACAGCCCCCAATAGGCTATCATTCGAGAACAAAAACTTGGAGCGTTGGATCATACAATTTGGCGGGCCACTCAGGGAGGATAAACACCCCCAGTTAACGTTTTTTTATAGCATTAATATGGACATTTAGGGGCCGTTTCCAGAGTGAAACTGGTGGTCCGGGGGGGGGGAGGGAGGAGCTCCAGGCACTTAAACACTAACCCACTGTTATGTTACTGAGAATATAATCTTCCACGGGCTTTTTTATGTTTTGAAGCGTATTCGCCGAGTTTATATTAAATATCCGGTGACTCCTAATGCTCGCTCAGGGACCTGTTTCAGGGCGTAAGTTTGCCAGAGGTTGACGTTTCTTGCGAGCTGATGTCAGGGGCCCTGTTACTCTGCTGGTGTCTGGCCCACCACCTGCACCCACCACCTGCACCCACCACCTGTACCCTACCACCTGCACCCCACCACCTGCACCCACCACCTGCCCTCAGGCCATGACTACAATCTGGCTAATGGAAATTAGTCAATAATAAATTATGAGTCCCTCCTGCACCTGCCTCCCACGCCATTCCAAATAGATTTGTAATTAAAACTTTGCTGGGGGAAGAGAGGCAGCTGGACGGGCGCCATCTTGACTTAGCCAAGTCAAC